TCTGGGCAACGCGCGCCATGGGCAGTGGCCCCTTAATCAAGAATGTGATATCCCACAAGGGCGTTGCTCAGCAGCTGCGAGTTCGCCCGTTTACTTCGGCGCCATGCGAAGTGCACGCGGGCCGTGTTCTTGTCGGCCCACGCCGATTGGAGGCGCCGAGCCCCGTCCGTCCCCGAAGACCACCCTCAGGGGCCAAGGCCCAAGATGCAGGCCAATTCATATATCAAGTGTTCCAGCCGTCGCGAAGAGGCGCGATTCCATCGACAGGCCCGGCTCGACGATGGCCTCCAGGATGCCCCCGGCGCAGTCCACCCGCCAGATGGCGAGCCCAGGGCGGAGAGCGACGACGTCGGTTTCTCTCTTGACGACGCCGCGCGGGCGGCGGCCAGAAGTATTTGGAGGGGTTCGGCGGCTCGGGCCTCGGCCCCGCGCAGAGGCGACGACGTCGCGCGCGTCGCCGCGACCCGCTCGCATTTGGTCATCGCGCGGCGCCAAAACTTCGACGCGCATCATAGCGCGGCGCGCTGGTGCCCAGTTGCACGCGCCCGCGCGGGCGCGGCGTCGACCCCCTCTGGGGCGGTCGCGCGCGCGCAATCCAGTTAGGGAATCCTGGTGGGGTTTCCTGAATCCGGTCGCGAGGCTCCAGTCACTGCGCCGGCGTGAAGAGGGCCAAAAGCAGCAGTCTGCGTCCGCGGCTTTTATTTCCAGTGCGATTGATCAGGATGACGACCAACCTCTCGCTGAACTGTTTGGTCTTAGGGCGGGGGGCGCTGACGTCGACGACTGGTTCAGCCTTGCCTCCGCGGCCGCGGGCCCGTCGAGGTCCGCCGGCGACCGCGAGCCGCCGGCGGCGGCAATTGACCGCCGGGTAGCCAGATCGCAGGCAGGGCGACGGCATCCACCAGCGCTGACTTCGGGAAGCGCGGGCTCGGGGCAGCTGGCGCAACAAGCCGCCCCTCGTTGATCGTCTGTCCATTCCGTCGATGGCGCGACTGCAGACCCGGCTTCGGCGGTGGGGGCATCTTCTGGCCCGCGCTCAGGAGCGCCCCATCGAGCCCCTCGATCACGGCGCGCCCCCATCCCTTGTCGGGGAGATGTCGGGGAGCAAGGCCCGCGGCGCCGACGCTCGCAGCTCGCCGGACATCAAGAGGCCCCCGAGGCTGCCGCTCAGCAGTTCGTGGGCGTCCTCAACGCGGCTGAGTCTCGCGGCCCGTCGTAGCCGCCGCTCGCCGTCGGCGCCGCCATTCCAAGACCACGCGGCGTCGATCGAGGCATCGGGGCCCGTCCGACGCCCATGAGAGTTTGTTTTCTGTTTCGGGGCCATCAGCGTGAACCAATGGCCCGAGAACCTCCGCGAAGTCTGGGGGGCTGCCGCCCGCGGGCCGTCGACTTCGGAAGCTGCCTCGCACAGGACTATGTCAGGCGAGCCCCCGCCACCGCCAGTCAGGGTAGCCTCCGGCCCCCTCCTCGATCCCACGGAATCCTACGATCGCGTGAGTATGTTGTTTTGCTCACGCGAGCTCATGTGGTTCAGGGCGCCCCCTATGCGGTCACCTTGCCGAAGGCGCAGGTGCCCTCGCCCCCAGAATCCTCCGCCCCAGGTCGGTCGCGTCTGAGCTAACGCTACCCATCCGCCCCGTAGCGGCGGGATCTGCCCGCGGCGCGAAGCTCGCCGAGGTGTTCCCCGGGCCGACTGTGGCGGCCACCTGTATGGCCTCGGGCGCTCGGGCCCCCCGGGCTTTCTCGGGGCTCTTGGCGTTCGCCGATGACACCGCGGCGCGAGCGGAGGGCATTGTAGCCGGCGTAGAGCGCCAGCTGGCCAGAGTCGGAAAGTCCTTCGCAGAGTTTGCCACTCTCCGACAAAACCAACGCGTTTGCCTCCTGCCCCGAGCTCGGAGGGCGCGGTGTTGCCCGCCTTCGAGGGGCGGGTGCCCCCGCTACCCTGGCGGCCCAAGCGGTCGACGTTGGCGGCGACACGGGGCGCGGTGCGCGCCGGTTTTTCCAGAACAGCAAGGACCTCCCGAGGAAGGCCAAGTTTCGTGGCCAGCGGATTCCACGAATTCGCAAGCACGCCCAGGCCTCCAGGGTTTCCCGGGGCCTCTGGCTGCAAGGGGCACCCCGCCAGGCCGCGCGCGGCCATCAGGCCATGGGGCCCCCTCCTTCCTCGATCCGTCTCCTCCGTCGTCAAGCCGCCCATGCTGTCGCAAACCGCGCCCGGGGCAGGTGCCTGACCGCCTGTTCTGTCTCGCTTAGGTGGGGGCCTCGAGCCTTCCGTTGCCTTCGCGGCGCAGGCGCTTCTCGCTCGGGGCAGCTTCCCCGTGTAGCGCGCCAGGGTTACGCCAGCTTGGCGCCCCCTTCGTAGCCGGGTTTGAGGGCGTTGGCGCAGGGTCGGAGGTCCGATCAGAGCTGTTGTCGCCACGCTGCTGGACGCTGGCTGGAAAGCTGCTTCCCCGACCGAGCGACGCAGGCTTCAGCGCGGCCAGCGCGAAATCTGGGCCCTCCTTGACCATGGCGACATCGATCGCCTCGGGGGTGATTGTGATGCCCATGAGCTCGCGCGCTGATTTCAAGGAGGACCTGCGCTCTCCGCTCTGGCCCATGGCCGGCGATCACCTTGATGGGGAAGATTTTGGCGCGAGGTGCTGACGTGTTTCCCTTGCAGCGGGAGTTCCGCCGGCTTGAGCGGCAGGGCGGCCGCGCCAAAATTGGCCAGCCCATGTCGGTTGCGTCAGGGGCCCAGTAGACTCGCAGTCGCCAGCATGCCGCGGGGCATTTCGTCGTCCTTCTTTGCCCGCGCTGCGGGCTCGATTCCGAGACTTCGCACCGCCGAGCAGCGCCAGCTTTGGCGAGCGAGCCCACGACGCGTCAGCGTCTCCGCGTGCGCGGGCCGCCGCGGGACACGAGGCCAATTCTGGGCTTTAGCTTTGAAGGATCCCGCCCAGTTCTCGCACCCGCCTTATCTTCGAGGATGGCGGGGCGGGCGGCGCGCGAGGGGTGGTGGGGCCAGCGCCGCAGTCTCCCCCGCCAGTGCCCCTCTGGCCCCCGGAGGGTGTTTGGCGATGGCTCTGGGCGGCCCTTCAACTCCGCCCCTAGGCGCCGGCGCGCCGGCGCAGCCCCTGCCTGCCTCCACCCTGATTGGCAGGCGCCAGACAGCCCCGAGGGCTGCGGTGCTGGCATGTGCGCGCGCGCTCCTCACTGCCCGTATTCTTTTTGAGAGTGTCACTGACGTAGAGGTCCTGTGCGATGGCTGGTGCCGTCGTCGTTGCCTGCTCTTGCAGGGGCCCTGCCAATTTTGATGCGTAGTCTCGAATTTGTTGGGCCTGTGTAGGCCGCGAGGGTGGGATCGTTGCGCAGCGGCCCCTTCCCTCCCAGATCCTGCGGACCCTTCTCTTCCCGAGGAAGGGATGATCCTGGCGTCGGGTGGTAGGATTGCTGACGCCCTCGCGTTCGAGGCCGCCAAAGAATCCCGGGGCTTGCCACTCTTGAAGAGCGCGTGCCAGACGCCGGCCCGCGGGGCGCCGCTTGTTCTTAGGTCCGCCAGCGGGCCGCTCAGGCCCTTGTTGACACTGTTGCCGCGGTCCCCCTGGTCCGCCGAGAGGCCCAGGATGGGCCGTGCCGAAACCATGCCGCTCCTAGTTGCCCTCCTTCGCAGCTCGCACTGTCCGCTTAAGACAGGTCCTTGGTGGATCTGCTCGTTTTCTCAATTCTTCGCCCTTCGTCCCAGACGCTGGAGGCCCGTTGGGACCCGCGCCCCTGCCATTCGGCAGGTGAGGAGCCTTCGGGTCATTGGATTACTCGGGCCCGCGGGGCGGCGGCGGTGGCGGGAGCTCAACTTCGCTGCATCTCTTTTTGGGGGGCTTCTGCACTTTCTTTATTTCTGCTCCTGCTGTGGTCGTTCGGCCACGGCTGACCCAAAACAGTTAGTTAAAGAACGCAGCCTTCTCACAAAGAAGGGTCGGGAACAACTCCAGCGCATCCCGACGGCCCTCGTCTTGGAGGCTGCCGCCACCCGAGTGCGGCGCGATCTGGCGCGGCGCATGGCGCATGGCGCTGAGCACGCTGCGTGTTGCCCTCTGCCACGGAGACCGTGGCGCCCAGGACACTTCAGAACACTTTTCCTCCTCAGTCTCCTCCACCTTTTCCACCTTCTCCTCCCCCCCTTTCTCTTCAGTCATCCTCCTCATCGTCCAGTCATGTTCTACCTCCTCCTCTTCACTCTCCCTGCGCTCCTCCACCATTTATCTTTCCCCTCCGCCCTCCTCCCCCCTCCCCTCGTTCAATCATGCATCCCCCTCCACCACTTTAGTTTATGTCTTCCCTCACCATTTCTCATTCCCCTCCGCCTTCCTCCTCCTCCTCTTCTCCTCCTCCTCCTCCTCATCCTCCTCCATCCATTTTCCTTTCTTTACACAACATCATCCTCAGCTCCGTCCTCCTTATCCTGGTTCACCTTCTCACCCTGTTTCCCCACCTCTCCCTCGTCCCCGTCGCTCTCCCCCCGCTCCTCCACGCCTCCTCTTCTCCTCCTCCTCTTCTCCTCCTCCTCCTCCTCCTCCTCCTCGCCCCGCCCCCTCTCCACTCCGTCTTCCCTCTCGGTCTTCCCTGTCTCCTCACTGCAGGAGGAAAAAAACACATACACAATGAATCTGCGATTCCCCAGAAGATATGGGAAAACATGGAAAGTGGAGGGAAGGCAGAAACCAAACTAATATAGGAACATATCGGGGATCCTTTTATTTGTGTGTATTTATTTGTGTGTCCCAGGGCCCCCTTCTCCTCCGCTTTGCTATGGTCGTATTCCGCGGCGCGCCTCTGCCACTTGTGTTGCCCAGCCCGCTCGACGCGTCCAATCTCAACGCTCCGCTTTGCTATTCTTCCACCCTCCTGCGATTCCGGCCTGAGCACGCTCCAGCACGACAGCGGGACGGCAGGACGGGGGGGGGACGGCAGCGTCGAGGACAGCGAGCGTGGCGCTGGTGCCCGATATTGCCCTGGCACAGGTGGAGGGCAAGCGTCGACGCCCCGCTCGACAGTGATGAGGAGAGGCAGTGGAAGGAGGAGTTCCGGTGCGCCGGGGACAAACATTGGCATGCACGTCTAAACGTTCGGAGGTCCGCGCGCATCTCCCGGATCAGCGTTGGCCTCCTCTGGCGGAGCGTCTGGCGCACCCTTGGGCGCGCTTCGCGCGCCGGGGATGGGGGCCAGCGCCGCTAGGAGAAATCCGCATGGTTTTCCGAGCAACATTTCTTTGTCCCGTTTGCTGGTGTTCCCAGGTCCGTCGAGGACAACTGCAACAGCCACCGGCAGGCCCTCAGAGAGGCGCAGCAGCAGCACGTGGGCGCCTCGGCATCATATGTGCTCGCTGCTGGGGCTGCTGGCTGCTGTCGCGTCGTCGCGTCTCATGCGGTCGGTCACCCGCGCGGCCGCCCGCATCCTGAAGGCACTGGACGACCGCGGGGGTGCAAACGCAAAGCCCACGGAATTTTCTGGACGGGAGCTTGTGCTTCGCGTGTCACTTTGGCTCCTCTGGTTCACCGCGCTTCGGCGCGACACGCTCACCACTTCCCAATCCCCGAGCGTCAATGTCCCGTTCCTCTGCCAGTCTCCCTCTCCGCGGAGCGGAGCGACACGCTATCAGCTCGCACGGCATGGCGAGTCGCTGGGACCGTCGCCGCGACGCTCTGAGCAGAAGTTCCCGACTGGCTGGGGGGACACAGCTCGCGGTCGGCCCAGTTGGCAAGCATCACCCATGGGACTTCGACTCCCCGCTCATTGACCGCTTACTGTGCTCGTGCGTTGTGTACTACAGCAGACCATGGGAAAAATCGCAAGTCGGCCCGCAGCGTATGCTGCACATGATAGGCGTGCACTTGTAGCGGGGGGTGCAGTTCTGTGTTCGGGGCAAGTTTGGATGGAAAGAGTCCTGGGGCCAGGTTTTCATCCGAAGTCAGTGTTTGACAATGGGCGGATGTTTGCAATTTGCAGAGCCGGTGTCGCAAGCCTCCACCAGGATGGCATCGCTCATCAGAGAGGCATCGTCTCCAGCAATGCTGACTCCGTTGCTCTGAATGCCTGCCTTTCGGAGATTCATATCGTCTGATAGACACGAGCGCCAGCATTGGAAATGAGAGCGTGCGTGCGTGCTTGCATGCGCGTGAGGATCGGTGGGGGCACACGTTTGAAGTAGGGACAGATGTCAGATGATCGACGTCATCGAAAGTTCGTTGACGAACGTACCGACACGACGTGTCCAGCGATTGTTAAAGGAGAGGAGACAGGGACGAAGGGAGGGGGAGCGAGAGGAGGAGAGAGACAGAGAAATCAAGTGCCGAGCAAGTGTCGGCCGATCTTGTCGCATGCGTCGTGGCATTTCTTGATGCGGTGCGCGCCAAGGGAGAAGACTGGCAGAAGACGGTGAAGGAGAAGGCTGGCCAGCTTCCGATGCTCATGTTGCCTGGGAGACACGAAGAGCAGCCCATTAAGCCCAAACAGTTTTCCTACTATGAACGCAGCAGCAATGAGAATGTGCCAGGACGTGGGGGAGCGACAGTTTGCGATCGATTGGGCTGACATGGGGGCCTGGACCTGCGAGGTCGCCTCCCACCCAGTACTCGTTCAACGCTTCATGGCGGTCAGCCAGCGCGGCCACGGTCGGGTCGCTTGGCAGATCTTCGCCAGGTCCCGTTGGAGATAAATGCGCCCCCTTCTGATCGACCCCGTTGCATGCTCGGCCGACGACCTCCGTGCTTTCCTCTAGGTCGCCTGGAGCAAACGCCTGCTCTCCGACCACTGCCGTTCCCGCACCCCTCCCCTGCGTCGCGATTCCCCCGCGCCGGCTGCGGCCGACCGCCGAGACATTCACTCCCCCCCCCGAGCCCCAAGCTTCATTATCCCCAGGGGATTATTATCAGACCTGCTGCCTTCCTCGTTGAGATCCTGGATTCCATCAAGCCATGGAACCGACCTGGCCCTTTCATACCCCGGTCGTCATCTTTCACACTCCGGTCGCCCCCAACCGTGTCCGCGCGTTTGAGGCCGCCAGTCGCCAGCCCTGCCCGTCCTGGCCACCCTGCCTCGTCTCTCTGAGGTCGTCTGGGACGTGGCGCGCCCTCGCATTGAGTCCGACTACCGCTGCCTTCCCCCTCTAACGTTTCGGCCCCATCTCGGGATAGCTGCCGCGCCGCCGCCGCCGGTCCGCCCCATCCTCCGCTGCGCGCTGCGTCGGCCTGCTACGCCGGTTGATTTACCTGCGCCTGGCCTTCATGGCCTCGCTGCCTGACCTCCATGCATTGCCCGCGAGCTGCCTTGCTCCCTCTCCCTGACAGCGCCGTTGCAATCAGCTCCGCAACGCTTTTCGACTCAGTCTGTCACTGTCCGTCCCGTCTCTTTGTCCACAGCGTGGCCTCTTCACTCCCTGTCGGTTTCCTCTTTTTTGTTCCCTTTCTCGCGTTCCCTTCGCGACTGCCCCGTCGCGAGCGTTGCCGTCTGATCCCCTATGGGTGGATCCCGCTTCTCCACGATGCGCGAGCTGGCGCGGCCCGCGCGCCCACATATGTTCGACCTTCACTCCATACGCCGCGCCGCGGGGCGCGTGGCTGCGACGCCAAAAATGCATCTGCGCCTGCCCCCCCACCACCGCCAGGACCAGGCCCACCGCGCGCGACATGCTCGCCCCCCCCTGCCCGAGCCGGGCGGGCCGAGGCAAGAAAAACTCCGTTCCAGAGCGTTCTGGAACGCTCTTGGAGATATTCCAGTCGGGGGCCTTGAGACGTAGCCAGTTCGCCAGTGCAAACGGAGGTCAGTCGGAACGCCAGATCTTGCAGGATCCTGCAGGGCCAGGGTCGCATGGACCCGGGCTTGGGCGCAGGATCTTGCATTGGGCGTTGCGTAATGGGGGGGTCATAAATGGGGGGGTGTCGCGGGTGGTCCGAAAAGGTACCCAAACGGTGCCTGAACGAGCCCCCTGGGGCTCCGGAGGGGCCCGAAAGGGGCACGAAAGGGGACCGTTTCTGACCCCCCCATTTATGACCCCCCCTTAAGCAACGCCCAATTGCAGGATGTTGCAGGATATATCCTGATTGCCCCAGGTCCGGATCGACCCTGGTCAGGAGATCCCCGGTCCGGAACGCTCTGAGAGGAAGGCCGCGGCGCCCGACACGTCCTCCCAAACCGGCGGATCTCAGAGATTCCCGAGGCATCCCTGCCCGATGTCATCGTTGTCTTGGTTTCCTCCTGCCCTGGGGTGATTCGCGTCGCCTCGAAGAGTCTCGCGGCAGAGCCCGCAGAGCGGAAGCACCCTGTCCCCCGAGGCACTCGCGGCGCCGGCGGCGGCCGCCCCGCCCCCGCCACAGCCCAGCGCGCCGAGGGTGGTGCAGCCGCCAGCGCAGCCCGCGGCGGTGCCCGACGGGGCCAAGGGAAGCTTGCGTCAGGGGCAACGATGGGGAGGGATACAGTGGAGAAGGGCCATGCCAAGAAACTCTCTGCCTGCCTCCAGGGTGCCCTGGGTTTCTCTTGGGTTCCGACGGTTTTGGTATGCGTGACGCTCCCACACCAAGAATCGATGGACGTCCTGGGGTCTCAGGGTTGGGTTTCTTGTCGAAGGTTTCTTGTGGTCAGGCCCCCACTGTAGGCATAGGGGGGATGCATTGATCCCCAATCGTCCATTGATCGCCGATAGGGGCCCGATAGCACCAACCTGCCCAGGAACGCGCAGATTCTTTATCGGGGGTTCATCGCCGATCTATCGGCGATGTATCGCCGATTCCAGGCCGATGTGTTCCCCCCTATGCCAGTCCCCCCATATCGTTGCCCCTCACTGTGGAGGCGACGACAGTCTCAGGTTTCCGGCGACATGGTTTAGGTCTGCCAGCGGTTTGTCTTAGATGTCGGGCGTTGGCACCCGCTTTCGGGCCCTGGAGCTATCAGGGAACGCCCCCGGGGCGCAAGAGCACCCCGGGGGAGAGGCCGGGACCTCTGCGGCCGCCCACTGAAGAAAGATCGATTGCTTTTAGGAGTGACCCTTCGCCAGAGTGACTTTTGGTGCGGGCTCATTGGGGCCTCGCGATCGCCGAACGCGAGGCGGCAGGGGGGTCTTCCGCGCTTGTGTGTTGGTCCCCCCGCGGCCCCCAAAAAGCCGCGCACCAAAGGTCACTCTTGCCCAGGGTCACTCTTGCGTGTGGCCGAAAAGAGCAGATCGTCGGAGACAGGACAAGGGAAATGGTCGGAGGCGGCGACAGAGGAGCTCGAGATTCGGGGTTGTCGAGGTAAGCTTAAGTCTGGCCTGTCCCTCTACAGGAGGAGTTGTTAGAAATAGTCTTCAAAAATGGTCTAGAGGCGATGTTTCGAGTCAGAGCGAAGGGGCCGAACGGTCATTCGTTGTCCATGGGTGCGTGGCCAAAGTGAGAATCCGTGGTGAGGATTCTGCTTGTTGCGTTGTTGTTGCTGCTGTTGGTGTTGTTGGTGTGAGTATTGTTGTTGTTGTTGTTGTTGCTGGTGGTGTTGGTGTTGGTGTTGGTGTTGGTGTTGGTGTTGGTGGTGTTGTTGGTGTTGTTGGTGTTGTTATTGGTGTTGTTGATGTTGCTGTTGTTGTTGTTGTTGCTGTTGTCGTTGCCTTTGTTGTTGTTGTTGTTGTTGTGGCGGTTGTTGCTGTTGGTGTTGTTGTTGTTGTTGCTGTTATTAGTGGTGTTGCTGCTGTTGATGTTGTTGTTGCTGCTGTTGGTGTTGTTGCTGTTGTTGATGTTGTTGTTGCTGCTGTTGGTGTTGTTGCTGTTGTTGTTGCTGTTGTTGGTGTTGCTGCTGCTGTTGTTGTTGCTGTTGGTGTTGCTGTTGTTGCTGTTGCTGGTGTTGTTGTTGTTGTTGGTGGTGTTGGTGTTGGTGTTGTTGTTGTTGTTGCTGCTGCTGTTGTTGCTGCTGCTGTGGTTGTTGTTGTTGTTGTTGGTGTTGTTGTTGTTGCTGTTGCTATGGCTGTTGTTGTTGTTGGTGTTGTTGTTGTTGCTGTTGTTGTTGTTGTTGTTGTGGTTGTTGTTGTTGTTGTTGTTGTTGTTGTTGTTGTTGTTGTTGTTGTTTATTGTCGTCGTCGTCCCACCCACGACCCACCCGCGACCCACCCGCGACCCATCGTCGACCCACCTGCGACCCAACCCGCGACCCAACCCGTGCCACCATATCTATTTCCCTTGCTTTCCTACCTCATGTTTTCACCCACTTCTTCCGACCGACGCGTACGCGTAGTGCTCTCCCCCCCTGAGCTGCTCGCCGCTCCGCTGGCGCAGCCGCCGATGCAAGACACCGCCGGGGCGCCGGGATGCCCGGACACCCGGCGAGTCGGCTGTTTCCGTCCCGGTCCCTGCGTGTTCCCCCGCCCTCGGCCCCCCCGGGGCGCCGCCTTCTTCGGGCCCCCAGGGGGGCCATCGGAGACCGACCCGCACGGCAAACGACCCCTGGGGGGTTGAGCGTCGGGGGGGGGGGCGATGGAGGAGGCATTCCAGAGAAGGCCTTGCCTTTGAGGATCGAAGGAGCTGCCATCTCTGCCGCGGCGTTAGGTCGGCGGGAGTAGGACGAGGCCGCCTCCGCCGGCGGAAGCTGGCGGAAGGCGGTGGAAGGCGGCGGAAGTAAACGATTCGCCCCCAAGAGATGAAAACGTTTTTGAGTTCAGGGTTTCCGAACACCGCCAGACGAGAGGGGGGGCAGCGAGGGTTGCAGAAAAGGAGCCCGTTGGAGCCCTTCAAGGGGCCCCAATGGGCCCAGAAGGGGGCCTCTGGGGCTCGAGAAGTGCACCTTTCTCCGCCCCCCCCCCAGTGTACGGTAGGTTCGTGTCGTGTCGACCGGAGGCGACCCCGCCAGCGGCGTTCAATTTTGAACGCCGCGGGCGGCCCAGAATCGTTCGATGTGGAACGATTTGGACGTTTCGGAAACGGCCGATCGTTCAAGGTTGAACGATCCCCGAGGTGTCAGAAACCAGCGCCGACGCCGGCGCGACACGAACCTGACGCATCGCCCCCCCATGAAGCGCCGCCCGAGGTGGAGGGTCCCAGACCTCCTGGGGCCGCCAGTCGAAACAGCCACGTCGCCGGAAGTGTCGGCCCGAGTGCGCGGTGCGAGTGCGCTCCAGCAGGGGCCCCGGTTTCGGCGCGTGTCTCGCCCCTGGGGGGCGGAAGGCCGGCGGAGGAAGGCGTGGGCGGCGGGTCCGCTGACGAAGTGCGGGCGGAGGGCGGCGGAGGTGAGCGCGAGACAAAGAGGAAGGAAAGGGTACCGATGCCGCTGCCCTCTGCCCGTTTTCCCCCTTTGGGGGCCTCCTGGGAGGCACTCGTCGGCACCGCCCGATTCGCTTCGAAATCCTGGTCAGAACGCGCCCCGGGAGAGGTCCGGGGAGTAGCGGTATCGGTACTTTCTTGGGTTTCTCCAGGGACGCTTGCTCCAGATGTCGTAATAAAAGGGAGGGGGTCGCAATCTTGCCTGGCGAGCAGTTTTAGACCCCCCAGACCAACCATGAAAGGGCGGCCTTTTGCCCAGACCCTGGGAACTCTCCAAGACAGCTCGAGTCAGACCCCCGCCCAATGTGACCTCTCCCTTATTTGGGAATCCGGAGTACGTGTTTGGGCTCAGGGTTCCCCGAGTCGGTTACATGGGGCACGTTCGACTTGGAAGGTGTTTTCGGTGTTGCCACGGTTCTCTGTCTGGCCCGAACAGGAGGTAGATGACTCGCTTTGGACAGGTGGGGATCGTTCCTTATGCGAGTTTTCTCGTGGCTAGATCTTGATTGTATAAGACAGAGAGAGAGAGAGAGTACAAGAGAGGGGGGAGAACATGAGAGAGATGGGTGCCGAATGAGAATGAGAGAGAAGGAGAGAGAGAGAACAAACTATGATTGACAGATAGAACTTAGATATCGATATCTTTATATATACATAGACCCACACATTCAGAAAGGCAGAGAGAGAGAGAACGAAAGATAGAGAGAGAGACAGCGAAACCATAGACTGTAAAGGAAGAGTGAATATATATATATATATATACATATATATATATACATATTTATATATATATGTACAGAGAAAGAGAGAGCGAGAGAGAGAGAGAGTGATGGGGTGGAGCCTTCTATGTATATATATATATACATATATACATCGAGATAGAGAGAACTAGCATACGAAATATCAAATAGCATATGTTAATCGAAGACAGAGGGAGACAACAAAAAGGGAAAGACAACACATACAACAGAGAGAGAGAGAGACAACACAAAGAGATATTGGGGGAACGAAGGGGACAGAAAGAGGCAGAACTAGGAGAGGGTCTAACGATCTGGACGGACCGTTCGGCCCTTTCTGGACGGATCTGAACACTGTTCTCTTGACGGGTATGCGCATTGCTTCCTTGATCGTTTCGATACCTCGCGTCGCACGGGCGCACACAGTTTACACTTGCTGGCGCAATGCGAATGCGTCTGCTTCGTGTAACCAGGAGAGTAACCAGAGGGGCTGTCTTTCTTCCCAGGCCAGTCATGGCAGTTCCGAGGAATGAAATTCAAGGCATTGCGTGGCACTGCTTGGAACCGTTGCTTGGCATTGCATGGCACTGTTTGGCGCTCCTGGTCAGTGCGTGGCGTTGCTTAGCATCGCCTGGCGTTGCTCGACATTGCTCGACATTGCTTGGCAGTGTCTGGCTCTGCGCAGGCCCCCCGAGGAGCGGTCGGGCAGCCGAGCAGAACGGGGGCAGCCCGAGGATCCCCGAGGGCCGCCTCTGACATCGCACGACCCGCCTGTCTCGTCCACACAAGAGGGCGACGCAACAATAAAAGCGGCTTCGATTACGCCGTCATTCGCGCGTAAGTTGCCCGCGTATGTGAGCGCCCTCGTCTCCAATTTGGCGTGCCGCGATGGCGGCCCGCGTAAGCTGCGGTGGAAGGGCGCCATGTCACCTGGCGTAAGACGCGCTTCTTTTCGTCGCTCAAGTATCAGTCGTGTTCCTTAACTTCTCGTCATCCTCTCTCTCTCTCTCTCTTTCTCTCCCCCGCTCTCTCTCTCCCTCTTTCCAGGTGTACATATGTGTCTATGTTCTCGTGTATCTAAATACCTGTACATATATGTGTATGTGTCTATGTATGTGTATATGTTTTTTCTCTCTGTCTCTCTCTCTCTCTCCCCCACCACTGCTGGTCAGCAGCGTCAGATCTCCTCCAATCACAGTCGGCAAGGGTTTCTCATCGCTGCCAGCCTACGCCCTCGACGGCATCCAGCTCCACCTCGAGAGGACAGGTCGGACAGCGGGGCCAAGGCTTCGTGGTGGGGACGGAGATCATCTAAAGGCTGCCGCCACTGCCGCCGACCCCAGAGCCATCATAGTGTCAGCGTGGGCATGTTAGTTGCGTTGATAAGACCGTGTTGAAACGCAACAC